TCTACTCTGCTGAGCATTATGAACTGTATAAGATATGCCTTTCAGAGGAAAAAAATCCTTGGAGTCTGATTGTGTTCATAATGTATCTTATCTTATTTACACATATTCTTTAGTTCTGGACTAGAGGAGGTCAGAGCACAGCTGCCCCTGCTTTCCAGAGGCATACTTTAACACTCAGCTTGCAGAAAGCAGCTCAGCCTCAAAAAGTGATTTGAATCATAAATCAAACTTAATGGCAAGCAACTGTATAGCTCATAAAGTCCATTCCTAGGGACCATTGCCCATACATAAAACCTGCAGCTAACCCAGCATATCTCATAAAAACCAAACAATTGCTCTTACAGGAAGAAAACAGGAATTTAGAAGATAAATGCCACAGCTGAGCTCTAACTAGCCCTAATTTCTTCTGATGCTTAACTTTGCCTAGCTAGAGCTTGCTCAGGGTCTTTACGCTTTTCAATGTATATAAGGACACCACTCAGTGATAACTACATTTTTATAAATACAGGCTGCATACATCTAATCTGAAAGACCGTCCTCTGTGATTAGGTATATGCCTATTAAATTCAGCTGCAAACACATGTCAAACTCCAAAACCACACAGATTGTGACAGACTGGACTGTGCTGAAACAGACAAATTGTATATCCAGATGGTGCTCAACAGACATCTCATACTGCTTTCTGTTTCCCTAAACTATTCTTAATCAGTGAGAGAGTTGATTTTAAGGGTACTAGATGTAGAAGCATCATCTGCAAACATTTGAGATTTCATTTAATGTTACTTTATTAAGGACTAAGAATTCAAGGTAAATATACTAGAAGTTATAGAGGTGGAAATGGAAATCTAAGTCCTAAACCCAATTCTGTTTCCATATATAACTGTGTACATTGACAAGTGACCTAATATCTCTGCTAAAATGGAAATAATGCCCTTGCCTCTATTCCCAAAAGAAGTACAGGGAAGATTTATGTGGAACTGTAGTGTTCTTTGAAGAAATAAAATGCTACAGGAGTACAAGTGTTTTGCATACCTAACAACAGCAAAGGGAGAATTACATAACTACAGTGTGCTGAGAAATTGATAGTTACATACCTACATTCCCATCAAAGGGATGCTGATGAGATCACCATGATAAAATTACATAGTCAGTTCTTGCCTGTACTTGCTACTGTATACATTATGTCATTCTGTATTAAAGTTATGTTTGTCTATGCTGCCTTTTTTTTTTTGCGCTTACACGTTAACTTCAATTCTCAACAAATATTTTTAGGCAGAGAAGCATGTAGTTTTTATCTGTTTAAATAATTTGTGCCTGACATGTTCCTTTGAATATTTACGTTCTCAAATTCAATCTTGGAAATTGGCCATAATTTTAGGCAACAATCGTGCTGTATTTGAAATTCAATCTCACTCTACTGCCTCTCTTCTCCTTAATCTGTGATTATTTATTCTCTTCAGTAAATATCTAGGAGAAACTCTTGTTTTATCTGTTAGAAATCTGAATAAAATGTATCAGGCACTTTTCACCACTATTTTCAAGAAGCATTCAAGCAACATCAGGGCAATAGAACTTTTTTCTTTTCCATGTTACAAAAAAACCCCAACAAAACACAAAAACAAAACCAAGGACTGGTGCAGAGGTTATTAATGAGTAACAGAAAAGATTTCTTATTTCATCAGGTAACAAACATTCACGATAGTTGTTGCTAAATCCTAATGAAGAAAGTGTCCTATTGTTAGATTTAAAAAAAATTAAATATATTTTATTGCTTTCTTTAAAGTGATATGACTTAAGAATCCTAACTCATTAGTAGCAAAACTCAAAGATCTGGAGAATTCTGTATCATTTCCTTATTGTTTGCTGTGACTTACTGTCAGTCCTTTTTTACTATGGAAATTACTTCACAATCCAGCAATGACAGGCAGTAACTTAAACTCATTAACCTAGGAAGTACCTACTACTAGTCAGATATTTAGTAATAATGAGCTAAATGACAAGAAGTCAGAATACAGTCAGAAGCCTGTGTTTTCCAACTCTAAAGGCAAGTGTCAGATAAGAGCTTCTTTACAGGTAGTAAACTTCTCTATTTAGCAATCATTTTAATGTACTGTTTAAGCAGTTACATGGTTAGCTATGCCCCACTAATTGATATGTTTCCAGATAATATTTGTAGATACAATCTGACTCTAAAGGCATCTGAAATTACAGACTACCCACTTTTCTTCAGAGCTCATTACATATAAGGTTATAATCTTCCTCACCTTGCTGTCAACTAAATGGAAATGGCTATACTGAGAATACAGACTGTTCTGCTGCTACATCACTGTATTCCTGATGAGAATGTGGTGTAAAATACTATTAGCAATCTAGTAATTGGTGGGACTTTTCCTTCTATGATCACTTGGCAAATCCAACAGGTAGTTTCCAATTACTTTGAGAACCAGGCAAAACAGTGCTTTCAGGCTGATATAGGTTAAGCCATTCACAGTCGCTTGCTAGACCTACTTGCGAGAAAGACACAATCAGAAATAGGTATTGTCAAATGCAGATATGAAAGGACTGGCATTAACCAGGATGCCGGTCTCTGCCACTCTCTACAGGGCACTGCAAACCGAACAGCAAATCTAGCTCCTCGCTCAGAGCAGCAGAAAAACTGATTGTACTTTTGAGGAAATTGGGAGGAAAGGGCAGAAGGAAAATGGTTCTAAGTCAACTTTAAGTATAGTATAATGAAAACTGTGTAGGAATATCTTATCAAAGCAAAATTAATTGTACTCCAACTGTTCTAATTTGTTCCTCCTGACTTTTCTTACAGCTCCACTAGAGACTAAGCTTTCAGGACTTCTTTCCACCCCAGCTGAGTGCTGTTCAATTCTCTCTGAAAAAATGTTTTTATGGAATAACATTCTCTGAAATACGAGGAAGCTTATTTTGTCATGGAAGTTCAGCATGGCTGGTGGTTCCACTCACATCAAGCTCTGTGCTGAGTTGTCTTACAGAATTATGAAACACATGCCCTTTGGGAAAAAAAAAAAGTAGAGAAAAAAAGCAATTCTTTTGAAAACAATATTTCCGCACCTGAATAGTGAGCAGTTACAGATACAAACAGAATTCGTTTTTCTGATGTTCTGATCAATGTCACTGTCACACTTCCTGTTTACCTGCTTTTGAGTTACAATTAGAATTCACTTTAATGGCTTTTCAGAGTAGTTGTTCCTTAGGTGAACATGGCTTGTTGGTTAGTTAACCTGTTCTTCTATTAAAGCAGATATGGTTGGTCAAATAAAAGCAACTGATAGCTTATTTAGCTTCAGTTCTGTCTCTAGTTTTTATATATTTCAGTTGTAAAAAAATTAGAGCTGTTCCTGACTTAAACTGACCTTTATTATCACCTGCTGCTCTGAGCAGCCCACCAGGCTTACCGAGGTAGTTTCATTCTGCAATTATAGGGGAGAACAAAGAGCAGTACTTGAAAGAAGTAATGCCTTTTTGATTGGATTGTAAACTTGCAACTATGATCCTGATTTTTAAAGAAACTTTACTCTCAACTTTGAGCCTAAAATGGTTTTGATCCATAAACCTTCAAAGGCATACGAAGCTGAATCTAAAACCAGGCCTTTTATATGTAAAATAAACCCTTTGCAGGGTCAAATATTTTGTTATATTATTACATCAAAGAAAAAGCATGTACGGTTAATACTGTCACTTGAATTGTAGGAAAGAGATTAATCTCTTATTTGAAAAGATATTTTTTTTCCATGAAATACTTTCCTGCAAACTTAGTGGATGCAGTTGCTTTTTTAATTTTGCACACCCCCCCCTTTTTTTTTTTTTTTTAAGATGGAAGTTCTCCTGCTGCAGTGTAATAGGCTGAGAATTACTGTGAATCAAAAAATGAAAATGTTCTGTGTAGCCAATGTAATGGTACTTCAGCCTAATGAAGAGTACTTCTGTTTCAGTGATAATGGGAACACAAGGAGAAACCTGCAAGGGTAGTGCAAGAGCCTTGCAAATTACAGTGGCCAGCAGTTTACCCATTCTATTCACCATGTGTTCTTTTTGTTTCATCTATTCATGCAGCTATACAAATTTCTAACAGTGGTTGTGTCTAACAGCATACTGAAGCAGAACTGTGAGAAACTACAGCTTGATAACCCCATGCTATTTTGAGAGGACTAGCATAATGTATTCCATGCTGATATTACACTCTGATGATGTAATACAAGCATGTTACTGTCAATGCCATTACTGATATTTTATAGACTAGATTGAAGCACAGATGGTGTGAGTAGATTGACACTACATATCCTAGACTATGTCCAGTATATATGTAATTCCGATTTATAAGAGCGACAAAGAATTCCCATTCTGACACTCTTGCTGGCCAGTATTTGTAATTCCTCATTGGTTGTACTATACAGTATGTGACAAAATAATTCTAAGTGGTTAAATATCAGGAAAAAACACATGCCAAGTTCCCTGTTTCCCTGGTGTAATCCCTCTCTGTAGTTCAGCAGCCTTTGTAAGAGCTTGTAGCTTACATTGCATTCTGAAGATAAACACATTCAAGTTGTTTTAGACCAAAGACTAATTTCATCTTTATATTGTAGCTCATTTCTAGAACTTACTCTAATGTTGCCTTTCCACTACTAACAGCTTATCATACCATATTTACTTCAGAAGCAATTCATTGTACACACAGGTTGCTTACATATTGTGCTGGAACTGTGCAAATGACGCTGAAAAAGCCATTCCTCGCAAAAACAACATGGGCCAGTTAATCATCTCAAGTTACCTTGGGTTCTCCATGCTCATATTCTATCAACTGAAACAGTACTAACACATTTCTGTGACACTGTTAACCATATCTCAACATAGCTTAGAACTGAGTGGTTAGAATATGGAGAAGATATTAAGATACACAGATAAGCAGATACAAGAAGAAATGCAAACTATGCAGAATATCCATTTCAATTTGTCAATTGCTTAATTAACAGGAGGAGGATCAGGCAAGTTTTTCTGGTTATGAGAGCACAGGAGGTGAGTTTCTTTTTCAGTATAATTTGCCATTTAATTTTGAAACCTTTGATTTCCCCTTGTATTTAAATAGTTCCTTAGAAGGTAGAATTAATTCAGGTTATTTATATTGTGAATGTCTCAAAGCATTTTATCATGTCAATTCTCTTTCAATGCAAATTAAAGCTTGTAAAAGACACTTCTACACTCTTTAGGCCAGTGGATCCAAAATTATTAGAAAATATTCCTGTTAATCAGCATCAGATCTCATAGGTGTTTTCAGAAATTAGCAGTTACGAAAAGGTTGTTGGGAAGTATGAGTGCTGAGTCTAAGAGGAATGAAAGGATTAATGAAAACCTTTTATGGCTAATGATATTATGTAATAAGAGATGTACATACCACATAATAAAAACCAACATTGTATATGGTAAATTAATGTGTCTTGTAAGTGATTAAGTTAAAGACATAATAAAATTCTAGCAGGCTCAGATGGTGCAATATTGCCTTCTGTACTGGTATAATCAGGCTCATGACTGGGACTTGGACTAGAAGGAACTGCTTTTTTAAGAAATACTATTTCAGTAAAAGGCAAAGCTGTGGTACCTACCGTAGTTTTGGTGCTAAAATGACAGTAATACCTGGATTTCACTTAAGACGATTATTATTTGGCTGACTTTGAGGCTCAGGGGAATTTAAGACTACGTTTCAAATGTAGTACACCAAATACAAAATCCAAATGGGATATGAACAAACTTCTGTAGCAATTATAATGTAATAACATATTCATAGAAAAACACAGTGGCTCAGGGGGCATGTTATTACATCAAGATGCATCTGCTTCTCCGCCCCACCCCCCTCTTTTTTAAAGAACTGATGTGTATGTGCAAGGTCTAATTTTCAGGTAAAATATTTTTATCATATCTGCAGTGAGAACTATGAAACTGGGAGATAAATAGGCTTGCGTATAATAGCTCCTTTTGGAATGCAGAGCATTATAGCACACAGTAAATCTAGTAAAATCAGATCACCTTGCATAAGTGTTACACAATTCAATGTGGAAAGTAGCTAAGATTAAAATTAGTAGCTCTTGCCAACTAAAGAATTTTTATTTTCATTTTAGACTTTTCAGAAGATCTGAGGAAATCAAACATAATTTTTGTTGTTGGTAAGTAGGATTCCTAATTTAACTGCTACATTTGAAAATCCTCGTGTTATTTAGTTTTGATTGTAAGTATATGATTCCTTTTCATCAAAAGACATACCAATACCAGCAGCTTGAGGGAGGTGATCCTTCCTCCCTATTCAGCGCTGGCAAGGCTGCTTCTGGAGTACTGTGTCCAGTCTGGGCTCCCCAGTACAAGAAAGATAATGTCTTACTGGAACAAGTCCAGTGCAGAATCACAAAGATGTTTGAGGGACAGGAGCATCTTTCATATGAGGAGAGGCTGAGAGAGCTGGGACTCTTCAGCCTGGAGAAGAGAAGGCTCCATGGGATCTTACCAGTATGTATAAATACCCGATAGGAGGGAATGAAGATGAGGGAGCCAGAATCTTCTCAGTAGTGCCCAGTCACAGGGCAAGAGAAAATGGGGACAACTTAAAATGCATTAAATTCCACCTGAACACAAGAAAACACTTTTTTTACTGTGAAGGTGGTCAAACACTACAGGGTGGTCAAACACTAGAGGGGCGTCAAACACTAGAACCGCTTGCCCAGAGAGACTGTAGAGTCTCCATCCTTGGAGATGTTCAAAACCCAACTGGACAGTCCTGAACAACCTGCTCTAGCTGACCCTAGTGTAACAGAGCTGCTGGACTAGATGATCCCAAGAGGTTCCTTCCAACCTAAAGGATTCTGTGAAAAGGTAGCATGTTTATGTGTTGTACTTTTATCTCTCCCTATCTTATAGCAAATACAAGTTGACTCAATTTATTGCAAACCTATGGTGGATGTTATGTGTTTGAAAAAGTAAATTAGGTTACTGTAGAGTTCCTTGGAGATTCTTCTTAAGGGAAAGATGCATAATACTTAATTTTCAGTCTTTAAGCAAACTGTAATTCCATGCTTACTGAATTACATCTTCCTGCTGTTTGCTACAGTGACAAATTTTCATTCTCTCTGCCTCACATATCTTACTAGAAAATTATGTTTGGGTTTGTACAAACACAGAATTTTTAAAAAAGTGAAGATGCTCAAGGAATTTTGCCTCTGAAATTGTCCATGGTAAGGCATATTTTTCATTTACATCTGGACTGCTTTTTCTTTTTTGAAGAGTGGGTTTTAATTTATAATTTTTATAAGCTATCTACTACCCATTTTACAGCTTAAAAACTGATAACACACCTTTTCCCTATTTATTTCTGCTCTTAAATCCATCTCAGACTTTCTAGTAAAAGCTTTCTAGGAACAAATGAAAATTCTGTTTAATCAAAAGTCTAAGTTTTCTTTGTTGAAAATGTTATAATGAAAAGTTTGAATAAGTCCAAACATGAGTTCCTTTTCAACATATTATGTAGAATGATTTATACTTTTTCCCAAAATACTCCCATCCCCACCCCCATCCTTCCACCCCTGAAAAAGCTTCTTGAAGTCTGAAGAGTGAACGTACATTTTTTCTGAGTTTTTTTTTGTTTTGGTTTGGGGGTTTTTTGTGACCAACATGAGATCTTCACAGTTGCCCATTTGGCTGCAAAATCTTGCTTTTGCTCCATCTAGGTAGTGAAGGGAAATGGTATTTCCCAGAGACAGAGTTCTTGCTGGTGCTAGGTTGGAATGGCCACAAGCTTTTTTTCCTTATGGCCTTTTCAGGCAGGTAAATATGCCTGAGTCACTTGTTAAACCTAGAGTGCACATGGGTCAACGTTATACATGCTAGCCAAATGCATTCCATTTGCCTAGGCAGTAATTTGTCTCACATGTCAGTCAAGAGCTGAAGTCTGATCACTGTGAATTGTACAAGGACAAAAGAAAACTTTAAAGAAGCCTCACAGGAGTAGAACAAAACTGTCAAGGGAGGTGGAGGGGGAAAAGCACCACAAATTCTCAGTGGCTAAGTACTCCATTACAGTGGACAGCGCTAGAAATGTTCAGCTTGTGATACCTTGACAAGAAAGAAAACAGAGAAGATGAGTTGAAGCATGCTGCTGTAGATACTTGAATAGGAAAAACTGACTCTGTCTCAGGTGTCATTAGGAATGTTTACTCATTACACGGATGTATTCAAGAGGAAATAATAAGATACTTATAAAGATGTTTTAAGACTAGAGTTCGAAAGATGTGCATTTGAAGTAGTTTACAAACTAATTGAAATAAATACACCATCTGCCATAGCTGACAAGTTGAGCTACTGTTTATAAGACACAGGAAAAAAAAGCAGAAATTTCCCTCCTCCACTAATTTCTCCTGAAAACTGTCCAAAAAGGGAAAGAAAAAATTAATTAGCAAAGATTTACATTAGATCTAATGTAGGAATTAATTGGAATAACAGTTAACTCAGATTAGTTAAGCAACAATGTCAATGTTTTATCCAGACAGCAAAGCAGAGGCATAGAACCAGCAATTCAAAAATATGGGAGATAACAGCAGGGTAATAAAAGAGGCAAACCCAAGTACAATTCAGCCTGTAAAGTAAAATTCAATAGAAAAATAAAAAATTAAACAGGTGCAAAGATAAATTTGGGGGATGCTCTAATATTTAAAACTTACATAATTCTTGCCAGTCACTTAAAAAAAACCAAACCAAAACACAAACCAAACAAACCCCACCAACCAAAAAAACCTTTTTAATCAGAGCAACATGAAAAGTAAAAATCTTAACCACAACAAACAATGTATAATTTTATCATTCTTATCTAATGTGATACTCTATATCACATCCAGAAAACTGTCATAACAAAATTACTGGGAGCATTACCTCTCCCAATCCTCTACAGGAGTTTCATAAAACATAGCCACATTTGGCTTAGATTGAGGCTGAAACCGAAGCAGAAAGTTTTTGGGAATCTTTCTGCATTTTGGATCAGAGACAAACTCCCCATTTACTCTTAAATGTGTTGTTTAAAACTTAGTCAGTTAAGGCAATTTCCTCTGCAGAATCCTTGTCCTATTCTTGGTGATGAACCAAAGTGATAATGGTTTAAGCTCAAAGTAACTAAGACCAGCTTTTCACCTGACACTTGGAAGATATTATTGCCACCTACACTTACAGTTAAAACATTACCAGATGCAGTCACCAGCTTCTTGTGCATACATAAAAAAACCCATCACAAACCCCAAAACTCTTTATTTGCCCAAGGTATGTCAGACCTTGAATGATTTGATCTGACTTTGAATTTAGCCCTGCTTTGAGTAGAGGGTTTTACCAGATGACTCCCTTCCAACCTAAATTGTGCTACAGTACCTGTATTACAGCTCCTTCTGCAATCAGATAGGCATAGGATGAGCAGTGCTGATAATTAAAACACCAATCAGTCCAAGTGCTAACTGTAGAAGTTGATGAAGCTGCTTTCTCTGACTTTCCATGAAATGAACCCCATGTTTTCTTTAAGAGGGGTGAAAACTCAGTGATGTCCCAGGACATCACATCACTCTGCCAATATATGCTCCAGATTGTTTTCTGATTAAAATTGTCTTTCAGGGAAAAAAAAAAAAAAGTTGAGGGTTTGTTGTTGTTTTTAAATAACAGCATCATTCCTATATGGTTTCACTCGGACTAAAATCATACATGAACAACAGATGAGGTACTATTGAGAAGCCTTCAAACACCAGATTCTGAAGCTAAGGCTTGTTTTTATTTGTATAAATCATCCAAGTAGTGTTGATAGAATTGCAAAACTGATCAAGTCCTCCAAAATCATAGTTTGAATATAAGGACAGCATGACCGATGTTATTTTTATTTCATTTCTGACTTCTGAGGCTCCATCGTGCAGCTAGGTTTCCCCTGCAAGCACATTTCTATGATACAGAGATGATACTCATTATGGAAATAAGGTCTAGAAATTGAAACATTTTAAAATGAATGGTTGGACTCTCTTGTAAATTGTGCTGCTGGCATTTTATGTAAATGTTCATGGTATTTTGGTATACGATATACTCGTAAGATTTGGCAAGTTTAAAATAGAGACATCCTAGTCTGTCTGTATGACACTTCTGCTTTATTAATATTTCTGGCAGCAAAGCTGGTTCATGTACTGCTCATATTGCTTGTTCCTGTCCCTGCTCACTCGCAGTGGCAGTCCCAGCTCCCTCTAGCATCATTAATTCATATACTTGTGATGCTGTGCTCTAGGCCAGACCAGTACATTTGAATCACTTGCCTGGGCTTGCAGTCTTTCACAGTCTGGGGGGAGAATGGGGCATGAGGAAAGAGCAGGTGCAAGAGACTCGATTTCTTAAACTGAGATCTTTCATTGATCTAAGGCAGGCTGCAGTTAAACATTCAGAAGTGCTGCTTGGCCAGTTGTCATTTCTCCCTGCCCACTGAGACCACTCTTTTTCTCCCCTTGAAGTGCTCTCTGAAGCATTTCTGCAGTCAATAATTAAATGGGGAAAGGTGACCACCTAAGTCAGCAGTGCTGCCAGGAAGTTATTTACCAGAAGATCCCTTTACAGTTTCACAGGCAGCTGAATCAACATAATGGAAGGGAAAACTGCACTAAGGCAGCACATAGACCTTTTGATACAGCCTTGTCTACAAAAAAATCAATATACAGCACTGCTTTCAATTTCTATGCTCTGTCTAGTACCCTGGTTCCAGATACTTGCTTACTGTTTGCATCAGAAAGCATAAAGGAACACACAAAGGATTCCGTTTCCAAGAATAATCTCAGTGATTGGAACAATGTGCTTAATTTCTTAATCCGCAACTTTCTATTAAGTTAATGAATGAGCTTTAAAGCAAGATGTACTGCACTTAGCGATACTAGCATAACACAAAAGCATGCTAACACTGAAGAACTGCTGGTAGTTCTTTTACATTATTCAACAGGTCACAGCACACCCATAATTCCTCTGGCCATTTTCTAGGGTTTAACTCTTTATCTTCACATCATAGAAGAAAATTGAAAGACAATATGATTAGTCTGAATAGCAAGTTACCATGAATCAGTTTGTCAGTGGTTAACACAATTTTTTTTCCAAAATATACGTAGGCAGAGTAAAAGATGACAGCATACAGAAAAAATGACAGTGTTGACAAAGAATCTTCTGCTTTCACAGCTGAAGTGAAGACATATTTTCCTCCTCCTAACAATTGAGCCACTAGGAAGACGTCATTATTTCTTTCAATGCCTCAAGTTTATGCTGTTTTTCAAACAGAAAAACAAGTTGCAGTAAAGCATTCTTAACTGAAAGTATCTTTGTGCTAGCTTTTGTTATATTTTATATGTAGCTGTTCCTTATAAACTTTCTTCAAGTATACTACTAAATTTTTCTCATTCTTTTTTAGAAAAATACATAGATTTAATAAAAAGACCCCCTAAAAGAATGAAATACAATTTTTGCAACACTACAAATTGACAGTAAGCCTCATGACTGCAGGGTTAATTTGCTGTTAAAGCTGCTTACGTAGCAGTCCTATGAGTATATACCCTGAGCAGGAAGTAAGTATCTAATTAATAAGGAAGCACTTTCACATTCTTTCCCACATAAACAGCTCTTTTTCAGTCACATTAAATACTGCCCTTCAGAGGGAGACAAGACATTAACTAATGCTCTAACTTCAGGCACGTAAATTAATACTGGCGTAAATGCTGGGTATGTGTTCATCCATCAGTGCTGAATTTCCTGGGGGCATTCAGCCTCTTCTCAGATCAGGCCATGCAAGAACTGTGGTCTCATTCATTGATAAGAAAGCACAAGACTTTGTAAAGTGGGTCATATACATTTGTCAATCAGTAGGATGCCTTGCTACTCATTAAATGATACTAAATTAATAGCAGTGGCCATAAAAATTACCATTTTCAGCACATAACTTGTTTAATTATGTCTTTTCCTCTTTAAAGAGCTCAGCATTTTAATCTCAGCTTTGTTGGAACTATTCTATAAAAAATAAAGATAGTCAATTTTAACTAATGTTTTGGAAGCACAGTAGTTCTCATTATGGTGTATGCCCTGCGTATTGTGTCATTCTGACAATGTTCTCTTTTAAAATATTAACAGGTAAAGGTATTATAGAAACACATCAACTTTTCTGAATACTTGCCTGCTAAAGAACCAAAAATTGTCCTTGTATTGTTATTTCTAAAAAGAGATCTAGTTTATTTAGTATATGAAGGGACATTATGAAATTTGTTTCAGCTCTATGTTCAGAAGAGAAACTTATATAAGAAACAGAAAAAAATAATCTTTGTAGCTGTTTTTTTCTAATACTGTGTACGTACGCCAAATACATAGGATGAAATTACTGCACTGATGATATATTCAAGGCCAGGAGACAGAATGTGTAAACAAGCACATGCACACACAAACTTACAAATCTAAAAAGCCAAAACAGACACGAAATAAAATTAATTGCCACTACAGGTATTTAATGGTCTCATTACAGATCATTTGCCTATAATTTCTCTGCATCTGTTTCTCTGTAGCCACTCATTTATTCCTTGTTTTCTTTCAATCGGTGCTTTTGCAAAAGAATAATGTTCTTCTTATTAAAGCAATAGAAAAACTACATGCAACCCACACTGGCAAGAAAATGAGACTGTGACAAAGATATTTCTAGCTAGAACTGTAGCATAAGTGCGATTCTTACACCATGGGCTGATAATTGTCTTTGTGAAGCTGAAGTAAAGACTCCAGGTTACAGCAGACAAAACCGTTCCTTTGATGCTACTGCCTTATGACCCATATTTTTTTCTCGGCTGCAGTACTGTAACTTCTCTGAAAATTATGTGCTTGGAGCAATTATTTCTTAAGTTAAATGCAAAAGTTAGAAGAAAGTTCAAGTCAGGAGGAGATGGTGCCAAATTCACTCTATTGTGACCATGTTATTCCTACATACTTTCATGGAAAGATGAACAAAAAGGAAAATCACATATTTTCTAGCATCTTAAATCCATGTAATAGAGCTGTGTAGTCATATTTGCAAGTCCCAACAGTTGACAAATACAGAAGTCACCACTTTAAAAACTTCATTGAAAAGAGTGGGGTTTTTTTGTCTTGGCCTTGCCTCTTTTGATTTTTGAGCATTGTCTCCCTACAAGAATACAATTACCTCCTACTGCAGTAGATCTCCCGAACAGATGCATCAAAGATTGTAAAAATGCTGCTACACACCCTGAAACTTCTCCCCAAATCCTGATATTATCACAATGGACATTTGCTTTCCTCTTTCCTGGCCTCCCTCTCCCCCAGCACCAACATGGCCCCTCAGCCCTCCCACCCTGGCCAGCCCTCAAGGCGTGCTCACCTCAGCTCTGCCAGCAGCCCTGGAGGTCACAGCCACAGGAGCAGGATCCCCAAGAAGTAGCTTCCAGCAGTTTCCATGGACTGCCTGTCTCTCCAGCTGGGCTCAGGCAGCTGCTGCTGCTCAGCAAGCAGCTGAAGAGGCGTTTGGTGTTTCACAGGGTCGGCCTTCAGCGTGAGGAAGGAAAAGCAGCCACCTCCATTGAGGAGGTGGGACAGGGCAATGCCAGCACTTGAAGAGTAAGGAGGCGTCCAAAACCTCTGAGACAACCCCAAAGAAAGGGCACTTGCCAGAGAGACATCCAAGAGGGGCAGAGTTTTAGGGCTTTTAAGGTGGTGACAGCTCTCCTGTCAAAGGAAGCAGGGAGGCCTGAGGTGCCATTTCTGACAGGAAGACACCTGCAGCATTCACCTAAGCCACTACCTTTCCTCTCCCACCCTCTTTGTCTCCACACAGGCCCCCATGAGCTGGGGGCCCCACCACAGGTGCCTTCCCTTCAACCTGTGGAAAAATCAGCTGAGCAGCTTCACCTGAGTGTCCTGTCAGCTGAGACTGCCTTTCACCCCCTCTGGTTCTTTGGCTCTGGGCCTCGTTCAGAGGTGGTTTTCCATCTGAGTACAGTTGTGGATGTAGAAGAGTGGGTGGTGACAAGGACTCTATGTGCCCTTTCTTGCTGAGCGCTTTGCTCTTACACTTCCCAAGTCAGAACCTCAGCTGCAGGGAGTGACATGACCGAGGCTTCGTCAGCGTTTAGCAGCTTCGGTACCTGGCTCTCAGTTATCGGCAGACATACCAGCACGTGAGAGCTTTCCAGCTCAAAGGGAAAAGGCACAAGCACAGTGAAATTCTACGTTTACCACAGTGCAAAAGGGTTTGGTTACTGTACATCTACGTGCATCCCACATAACAGAGGCAGGTTTCACCATCTCTTTGCCTATATCTTTCCATTCCATAAATGGGGGCAAAATATTTCCCTCGCAAGGATGCAGTGAACATTAGTTTGCTAATACTTGTTACAGCTATCAAGCTAAACATACACTGAGTCAAATACCCTTCCCCACTGACTGGCTGTTTCATGTTTTTCCTTTACATGGTAATGGTATTTTAGGAACAGGTTCTCTTCTGCAAGAGATTGTGACTCCTGTTGTGACTCCTTCAACTTTGGTACACATTTTTGAGTCAGCAGAGTAGTGTATCAGACAGGAAGTATATGACTTGTTCTACTGTATAGAGTGTCTTTGCAAAAAAAAAAAAGTTGCAAAATAGGCAGTCTAATCAATTTCCTGCCGTTGTCTTGATTGCTATAGTTTGAGAAAAGGCAGATATTTATTCTTTTCTAATTCTAGATATTTTTCCCTCACAAAGGTGGGCCTGGCTCTGGCAAAGGTAGCCAATGCGAACAGTTAGCCAAGAAATACGGATTTACTCACCTGTCCACTGGTGACCTTCTCCAAAATGAGTTATTGTCATTAACAGAGAGAAGTAAATTGATCAAAGACGTCATGGAATGTGGTGAACCTGTGCCTGGTGTAAGCAATGATTTTATTTGGGGTCCTAATGGTTAAACAAAGGCAGCGATAGGTAGATTGTCTAAAAGGGTGGAAATAAGAGACTAGAGCTGATGATTCCCTTTTAAGTAAAATTAATCTGCAACTTGAGCGAGAAGTTTCCTCATGGCCAGATCTGTGGCACATCTTTCCCCTTTCTATGCCAGTATTTCTTTACATTTCAGACTCACATAGGCAACAAACTAGTCATGAAATGCAGTGAGACAGATACTGTGCTATGCATTGCAAAATGTAAGAATAAGTACAGGAAACAGAAACTTTATGTCCATTTTATAGCATCACATTTCAGATTCAGAGCTAGTCCTCCTGGCAGCTACTGTAATTTACAATACCTGCACCAGTTCCCTGCAGAACTGGCTGGCATCCCAGAGTAGCTGGACTGCAGTTTAATGGGGACTATGAAGACACAGTGTGTTGTTCTCAGCTGGACTTGATTTTTACATGGCAGGTCCACAGCCCAAGCTCTTGGTGGGTCTTCAGCAAGTGCAGTTAGATCATAGGTTGTGTTTGTTAATGAAAAATACCGGGAAGTGCTGCTCAGGGGAAAGTAAAAGCTGTGCTGAGGCTTGATTTTGATTGCTTTGCTCTTCAGTGTGTTTGGTCAGATGGGGTCTTTTATCACTTTCCATGTAATATAATTATATCAATGACATAGCAAAATGCAATCAGATTGGAAAATGCTGCAGCAGTACTCCAAAGTTGCACAGGTATTAACATTAATTTTGAAACTATGAAATAATCTCAGCTATCTGGATGACAATTTGGGAGCTCTTGGATGGGTTGCAACACTAGCTTTGTGTAGCATAGCTGGTCCTGAGAGAAGAAAAACTAGTGTGCTCTGCTACCTGTAGGACAAGAAAAACACTTGCATTCACAGGACCTGTTTTTAGCTACACAAGACACTTCTCAAGGGCTAAAGTCAGTGTAACAAACAAAGATATCAATCTTTTAGTAATTAACCAAGTAACTCCCTTTCTTTCCAATGCAGGGTATTGTCCTAGAGCTACTGAAGGAAGCCATGGTTTCCAAGTTAGGGGACACAAAAGGATTCCTGATCAACGGATATCCCCGGGACCTGAAAGAAGCAGAAGAGTTTGAGAGCAAGGTGACCATATAATCGTAATGCTTTTATAAATCCTATTAAGATACGACCGTACTTCTGATGCTGCTTGGGTCCCCATCTTTAGCAGCGGGGTCTTGTGAAGAGCCAATTCAACAGCATTGTGCTGCTGCTCAATGAAACTTTGGCACCCCATCAATATAGCAGCTCCAGCTTTTGCGCCTACCTACACAGACTCTGGAATACCAGGAGAAGTAAAGGCTGATTTTACCCAAATTTAATACAAACCATGAACAATTCACATTTAGTGGAAAGCATCATTTTTACAATCAGTTTTCTAATTCTAGTGGATGGCTGCTATACTTCTCATGGAAATCTCATCAAGCACTATTTGGTGTAGGTTCATGAAAGCATGTATCTTCACAGTTAATATCTCTTACCATTGAGCTGGCTCTGCTAACGCTTGCTGCCACTTTGAAACAGCAAAACACAGATTTCATTTTTGTGATGAGTAACAGGTGGCATAGCCATAAAAAGAGCATTTTGAAAGTGACTGCGTGGCAGTTCAGAGAGTTGTCGATTTCTTCAGTATGTGCTAAGACCTACTGAGAAGTCTCAGCTGTATGTTTCTCAGTCTGCAGAAAATACTCTATATAAGCCCTATGAATTAATTTACCAGGGTTTAGGAGAGAAGCAATGATGAACTAGAGGAAGTAGTTAAGTATGTATTCTACCATATTACACTCCACAAATGTCCTATACAGTTCAAAAGGTAAAACTTTAATGAATTACCTATTTTCTCTCTGAACCTTTAGCTGCTTTATTTAGTTGATTACCACAAAAGCCTAGCAAGATTTTGGCACCAGAAGCTGGACAAAATGTTTTGCTATAGAAGCCATTCACGGAAATGTTGATCTATTAGTTCCTTTACTAAAATGCTACAAGTATTAAAAAGACATTGGAGATTTCTTTCATTTTGTGTAGGAGGAACTATTTCAGCAGTGCTGCTTTTCTGGGAGGCTATGTGTCATGTCCTGTGAACACTGGTGTATGCTATAAAGTAGGACTTAGAGGTTGGAGTGTCCTGGACTGAGGCATTGACAGGCAAGCAAGTCTTGATGCATCCAGTGCAGAAGCAGAGCCCCTTTCAGTTCCTGTAGACACTGTAACAGCGAAAGATCCTGTAGTCCTGAGCTGCCTTTGACAATTGGAGTAAAATACAAGGACCCCAAGTGATAATTTTGAATGTGCTAAGTCATCACTGTTGTATTTATGTATCCACTTCAGTTTTCACAGGGTGAACTTGGCTGGCTGTAAGCTGTTCAGTAAATCTGTGAGGTTTTTTTAAACAAGTTTCAAGTTGCACCAGGGGAGGTTTAGACTGGATATTGGGAAAAATTTCTTCACCAAAAGGGTTGTCAAGCACTGGAGCAGACTGCCTAGGGAAGTGGCTGAGTCATCATCCCTGGAGGTATTTAAAAGACATATAGATGTGGCACTTAGGGACATGGTTTAGTGATGGACTTGACAGTGCTAGGTTAATGGTTGGTCTTGACGATCTTAAAGGTCTTTTCCAACCTAACTGATTCTATGACTCTGATTCTATTATTGAGGTAGTGCTTTGCAGTTCTTTCTAAAGGGTGATGAGAAGTTCTTCCTACATTATAATTGAATGAAAAGAGGTGGACATCAGGCTTTATTAATTAATGGTGGCAAAATGCAAATGAATAATGCTGCATATCTACATAATGTGTAAAAAGCATTATAATTGTTAACAAAGAGCTGTTCTATTTAGAAGATGTCAGGAATTGTGCTTATACTTAAAAGTTTGACAGCCCTAAATAGAATTAGCTATGTAGAAACAGCTTATTCTCCAGCCAGTTTTGCCCAATTCCTTTCTATGATATAATTATACTTTTACCTAGCCATAATTCTAGAGAAGCACATGTCTCTGTTCCCTCCTCGGTCTTTCTGCTAGGTGACAAGTAGAAAACAGTATTAAATTATATGTTCCACATCACCAGGTGGAAGACACCAAATAAAACAGAGTAAAGACCCAATACATTAGACTTGTTTGGCTTCCTGCAGATGTCCTCACAGCATGCATTATTTAAGCTAAATTGCATCAGGAAAATAGTAATTTAAATAAAAACCAGTAGCAACAATTGCTGTAATATCTGATAGTGGCATTAATTTTGCTTTTTGTGATTTTTGACTCGGAAGAATGACATTTCTGTAACATTCTGAAATCCAGAGAATAGCAACATTGAAACTTTTAAGAGAATCATAGAATCCTTTTGTTGGAAGGGACCTTTAAGGGTCATCTAGTCAACCTCCTCCAGGGGGATAAGCAGGGATATCTTCAACTAGATCAGGTTGCTTAGAGCCCCATCCAGCCTGACCTTGAATGTTTCCAGGGATGGGGCATCTACCACCTCTCTGGGCAACCTGTTCCAGTATTTCACCATCCTCATTGTGAGACATTTCTTTCTTGTATCTGGCCGAAATCACCCTTCCTTTAGTTTAAAACCATTACTCCTTGTCCGGTTGCAACGGGCCTTGCCAAAAAGTCTGTCCCCACCTTTCTTATAAGCCCGCTTAGAGCCCCATCCAGCCTGACCTTGAATGTTTCCAGGGATGGGGCATCTACCACCTCTCTGGGCAACCTGTTCCAGTATTTCACCATCCTCATTGTGAGACATTTCTTTCTTGTATCTGGCCGAAATCACCCTTCCTTTAGTTTAAAACCATTACTCCTTGTCCGGTTGCAACGGGCCTTGCCAAAAAGTCTGTCCCCACCTTTCTTATAAGCCCCTTTTAGGTACTGGAAGGTTGCTATAAGGTCTCCCTGGAACAGCCTCTTCACCAGGCTGAACAACCCCAGCTCTCTCAGCCTGTCTTCATAGGAGAGGTTCTCTAGCCCTTGGATCATCTTTGTGGCCCTCCTCTGGACTCGCTCCAACAGGTCCATGCTATTCTTGTGCTGAACCATATAGATTTTTCAAAAGAAAATCAGATCCGGTCTATTTAAACAAGATACTATTATCTGATCTTACCAGTCAGTAGATTCCTTCATATCCTCATTGTAATGTGACTGTAACTGATGAAAGGAATCATTCCTCATTTATTCTGTTGTAATTCAGAACAGACCATGGAATTCCCCATGTGGAGCTGGGACAAAAGAACTTCTCACTATCCTAGTCCAATTATACAAAAAGGACATTTAAATCATTGATTAAGCCCACATCTTTTTTAACTTCTTGATCTAAGTCTCTTGCACTGTTAAAAGTGCCTTGATGGCTTTTTTAATCCCAAACCCAAATACTGCTGCTGCTAATAGCATTAATTTTTTCTGAGCTGCATGGAAAAAATGGATGGATAAAAGCTTGTCATTGAACTGCCCAACATAATCCCTTGGCTTCAGCTGTCTCTTAGAAAGTCATTAAGGTAGTTAAGAGGTCAACATAATCCAGACGTCCTCAGTCAAATGCAGAAGGCCCAACATGAAATATTTACTTTTAGAATATTTCTTCCTTTAAGGGCTGTCAACAAAGGTAGTGACGGCAATTTCCACATACCAGTCATTTAGACTTTCTTTGCTCTAGCCATGGTAAAAGCATGAATTTCTAATGGTCACTAGTGTAAAGAACAGTCATCTTTTCTCAAGACTTCTCACGCTTTCCTAAAAGGTGTTCTCCAAATCCCTGCTAGAAAGGGAAGGAATGATAAAAAGCCTGACAGCATCATTGAAAAATTTAGTACATAACTACATGGAAAAATTATCACATTACTTTTCTCTGATCCTGTAACACCTTTATTTTACTTGATAGAGTGGAATCTACCCCTTTAGACTCAGCCCAGCTGTTGTTGCTCTGACAGAACTTTGTGTCAGAGAGAGCTGTGCCTGAACAGCGTGCATGATGGAGTGTATTGCAAGATTTATGCTAAATGACAGACATATTTTTCAGCATCTCAGGGAAAGAACAATGTGGATTTGTGTTTAGAACTTTTGACTCTCTCTTAAAGCATTATAAGGAACATTTTGTTCTTTCTTGCCAGTTCTTTTTCACCCATAAAGTACTGCAGTATCTTCGATCAAATGGAGTTAGAGACAATTATTTGCTATCTTTGCCAAGGCCCAGGAATAAAATAAATAAATCCATATTTATTTTCTTTATAGAAGAGGGCAGACTCTCCCTTATGACTAATTTGGCACTAGCCAAAAAGCCCTAAATGGTGGGCTTCTCATAGAATTTGGAAATTACTCGCCAATTTGAAAATGCAGAGAAATATATCACATCCTTCCTTTATGCCATCAGTAGTAATGATGTAGAGTTACACTGCAAATATTGACATAAAATAGTGTGTGACATAAAGTAATTAACAGGATGTGAATTCCATGAATATGTCTGATAACAAGCATTTGATGGTGTCCCTGAGCCTGTCTGTTGCTACTCATTTCTATTTCAAGCAGGCACACTTTAATTTGGACATTTCCTTCTATTGCCTTTTTAAATTCTAAGCTATAGTTTACCACTCCCTGAATGAAAATATACTTTTCACAGATTGAACAAAGCAAAGGCTAGAAAAATAACTATATCAAGCATTCCATGAGTCCAGTGCTGTTTGCATCAAGCTTTTGTCAAATAGTTGCAAATAATGAAAAAATTGATAATCTTCAGTCCAAGTAGCAAGAATTTTTCAGATCGTATCTCTTTTTCTCTGTATGTGTAGAGCCCAGTCAAGCACAGCCTTGATCCTGAATACTGGGATCTCTAAGTGCTGCTACAATAAGAGCTGTTTGTTAATAAGTGTAATTTTTGCATAGACAAATACAAAAGCAATTTGCTAATAAATTCCTTGATGACTCTTTTGGTAGCATTTCTTTTTAAAATTATTCCAATAAAATCAGTTTTACCAGGCCAGTGGTTTGAATACTTATTGGTTTTCTTTGTCTCTAGATTGGGGAACCAAAACTTGTGTTCTGCCTGGACTGCTCTGCAGAAACCATGAGCCGTCGCCTTCTGATGAGAAATCAGAGCAGTCAGCACTCTGATAATGCCGAAACCATCAAGGAAGGAATCGAAAGCTATTACCAAATGGCAAAACCTGTGATTGCATACTATGAAAGGAAGACACAGTTATGCAAGGTAAGTTGCTTGACCTTTTTAGTTAAATTATTGCTTTTCACTTCCATTATATGAGCAATATTTGGAAAATACTGACACAACACCATTTATGAACTGTCTTAGTTTCTGCACTTTCCAGTTTGTTCTCATCTTACACTTCCCTAGTTTGTTTTTAACTTCTACAAACTTCTGAGTTCCACAGTGCAATTTGGAAGAATAAAACCACAGATTTATCCTGAGAACATATCCTGAATCACTACCTCATCTGTGTAGAATCTCTTATTCAACATTAATGCTGGAAAGATTTTCTTTAAGTATTAGGATTTATTTCTCTATAAGGGCTTTCAGAATTAGGATGAAAGATTATGTTAATCCAAAGCCCTTTAGTTAAATTTACGAAATTGACAGTGCATATCCTGAAGTAAAACAGACTTGTATACAAGAAAGATCTTTCTGCTGGAATAAATGACATAGTTTTATTAATTTCAATGAATTACCTTGGTTTACACCTGCTCAGGATGTGATATTTAAAGCATTCATTTTATTCTGTAATCAATACTCTACAGAGAAGCAAGAAAAATTCCATCAGAGCAATTAACTGATGTATATGCTGGCACATCTGTAAACACATTTATATGGGATGTTGGTGTTTGTTTTTATATAGTTCTCTGCTCACTCATGGCAAACTGTCCCTTATATTCAGCTACAGAAAGATCTACTCCTACTCATCCTTCTTATCCTAAAAGGGAAAGAATCCAATAATAGTTTCTGGAAACATTATGGGAGCTTTTCTCTAGAGGCTATAGCAAACATGCAAATCACATATCCCAAACCTTTCTCCTCTGCAAAGTTCCCAAAAGCGAAACATGCAGCTAATTTACGCACCCATATCCTGACCTCAGAACAGAGTAAATGATGTAGTCCTAAGAAAAATGATACTCAAAGGAAGAGTCCTGATTTGTGTCCTTTGCTAACCCCACACTAAGTGCATAGAAGTCAAACTCTAGAGTGGCAGGAAAAAAAATTCTCAATTACTTTTCTTTTTTAAACTTAAGCATGATTATCTGCTTTTATTTGTATTTTCTTTGACGAGCTACCTTGCCAATATTACAAGGATGCAAATGGACTTGTGCAAAGCATTTGACACTGTCCTGCACAACATCCTTGTCTCTAAATTGGAGAGACGTGGATTTGACAAATGGACCACTCGGTGGATAAGGAATCAGCTGGACAGTCACACTCAAAGAGTTATGGTCAATGGCTCGGTGTCCAAGTGGAGACTGGTGATGAGTGCTGTTCCTCAGGGCTCGGTATTGGGACCGGCACTGTTTAACACCTTTGTTGGCTTTTTACAAGGGCATGTAGTGATAGGACAAGGGGCAATGGCTTTAAACTGGAAGAGGGAAGATTTAGCTTAGCTATAAGGAAGAAATTCTTCACCATGAGGGTGGTGAGGCACTGGAACAGGTTGCCCAGAGAAGTTGTGGATGCCCCATCCCTGGAAGTGTTCAAGGCCAGGTTGGATGGGGCTTTGAGCAACCTGGTCTGGTGGAAGGTGTCCCCTCCCATGGCAGGGGGGTTGGAATGAGATCATCTTTAAGGTCCCTTCCAACCAAACCATTCTATGATTGTACAAATCCATGATACATCTAATTAAGAATTCAGTACAATACACAATACACCAACACAGTGTGATGCAAAGGAAATCTGTATCTCTTAAGATGTTACTCCAGTGAGCTGTGCCTAACACAGTGTTTCCCTTTTTGAAGCATCAGGGAAGTGACAGCCCCAAAGAGAATGACACTACACAGATTTTGAATTCACGATCTGCCTTATTTCACTTGATGCGGACTCTCCTTGCCCTGCCTTAATACTTCTGCTGCAAGTTTCTGCTCTGTCTCCTGTGCAATCTATGCAATGGCAAAACATGCAGTCTTGAAAGCTTATAGCTCATGAACTCCTTAACGGACTTGCGTAATCTATGGGTCAGAATTGGATATGTGCTTTGCACTCTTTTATCATTAGTTTTTGGGGGAACTGACATTGTGTATTTGCATGTTAGAAAATATTTGTGCATTGCTTGAACAGTTTTTCTTACAATGTCTGTACATTGTCCATACTTGTTTCTGATGAATGTACAACCTACTTCCATCTTCTGGATAGAACTGTTGGGTAAGAAAGCTTTGTAAAATCAGCTTTATAAACATTATCATGTAAAATATCCTTTTGAGGTTGAAAAAATGTGTTCTATTTTTCTTGAACACAACTACTTTGTGTGGAAATGTCTAACGTCTTTTTTTTACTAAACTGATAAAATACACATATGCTATCAAAGATGTGATTCTGTTACGGATTTAAGTAAAGTAGGGAGATGCCTCCTCCCCCCCCCCCCCCCCGTTCGTACT